GAGGAGGAGGAAAGTGAGGAGGAGGAAAGGGGGAATGAGGAGGAGGAGGAGAAGGAGAGTGAGGAGGGGGGGGACAAGGAGGAGGAGGAGGAGGCGGACGATGGGGGAAAGGGAGGAGACGAAGATATTGACGTGGAGGTGGTGGTGGGGGAGGCGGGGGCGAACCAGGACTGGTTGGAGCAGGTAGGGAGGGGGTGGTAGATGTTGAGGAGGTGAGGGAAGTGGAGGAAGCGAAGGCCGTGTTAGAAGTGAAAGTGGTGCACGTGGAACTGGAGGTGGACGGGGAGGTGGAAGTGAAGTATCAGGAGGTAGATGATGAGACCGACGACGTGGAAGAGGACGACGTAGACGTGCCTGCAGAGGTAGTGGATGATGCTGCTGCTCATGGTAACGATAATAATGATGATGATGGCGATGGTGCTGATGCTGATGATGATGCTGTTGCTGCTACTGCTGCTGCTGCTGCTGATGATGATGATGACGATGACGACGAGGATGATGATGATAATGATGACGATGATTATGATGATGATGCTGATGATGCTGAGGCTTCTGCTGCTGCTGATGATGATGGTGGTAACAGTGGTGGTGGCGATGATGATGATGATGCTGGTGCTGATGCTGATGCCCACGATGATGACGACGATGGTGGTGATGCCGATGATGATGATGATGATGATGATGATGATGATGATGATGATGATGATGGAGGTGGTGGTGGTGGTGATGATGATGATGGCGATGGAAAGGATGATGATACTGCTGCTGCAGCTGTTCCTGCTGCTTCTGCTGATGATGCTGGTGGTGGTGGCGATGATGATGACGATGACGACGACAATCATTATGATACAGATGCAGATGAACATGATGATGCTGATAATGACGATGGTGCTGCTGCTGATGACAATGCTGCTGCTGATGATACTGATGATGATGATGATGATGATGATGATGATGATGATGATGAGTATGATGATGATGACGATGATGATGATGATGATGATGATAATGATGATGACGATGACGATGACGATGACGATGACTTCGATGATGATGACGATGATGATGATGATGATGATGATGGGGATGATGGTGGGGGTGGTGTATATGATGATGGTGATGATGATGGTGGTGGTCGTTATGATGATGATGATGATGAGGATGATGAGGATGATGAGGATGATGATGATGATGATGATGATGATGCTGATAATGATGATGATGATGTTGTTGTTGTTGATGGTGGTGGTGGTGGTGACGACGACGACAACGATGTTGTGGTTGATGATGATGCTGATGCTGATGCTACTGATGATGATGTGATGGTGATGATGCTGGTGCTGGTGCTGGTGCTCATGCTGATGCTGCTGCTGATGATGATGATGCTGATGATGCTGATACTGCTGCTGCTGCTGCTTCTGCTGCTGCTTTTGCTGTTGCTGTTGCTGCTGATGCTGATGCTGATGCTGACGATGAAGAAGAAGATGATGGTGATGCTGGTGATGATGATTCTGATGATGATGCTGATGCTGATGCTGATGCTGATGCTGATGCTGATGCTGGTGCTGATGATGATGATGATGATGATTATGATGATGATGATGATGATGATGATGATGACGCTGATGATGCTGATGATGATGGTGATGATGATGATGACGATGATGATGATGATGATGATGATGATGATGATGATGATGATGATGACGATGATGATGATGATGATGATGATGATGATGATGGTTTCTCGCCCTCGGACATACAAAATCTACCTGGAGCCCCTCAGGGCTGCGACTCTCAATCATCCCAGTGAATGCACAGGGTACGTCGGGGAGGGCCGAACCCTGTGATTTCCCTCGGATGCTTGGGGTTTCTGGTGCGCTAACCCCCGAAACCGAGCGATCTCACTGGGATGCTTGGGAGTACTGGGATTGTCCAGACCCTGCCGAAAATCGACCCTGGAGCCCTCCAGGGCTCCGAATGCCTGGGATTGCTGGGGTACAGTCCAAGAAACCATAATATGATGTCACTTGGATGTATCCTCGCAGTTGAAGGAAGTACCGCCTCCTCCTCTTTCCCCCACCCCCTCCTCCTCCTCCTCCTCCCTCCTCCTCCTCCTCCTCCTCCTCCTCCTCCTCCTCATCCCCCCCTCTTCCTCCTGCTTCTCCTCCTCCTCCTCCTCCTCCTCCTCCTCCTCCTCCTCCCAGTGGCTCCCGGGATTTTCCACCCTCTGGCAGACATCTAACCTGGAACACCCCAGGGCTCCGAATCCCGAGCATCCCAGCGAATTCGCAGGGTTCGCGGCGTCAGGGACGCCAAAAACTCCGTGATGTCCCTGGGACGCTTTGGACCCCTTTTGTGGCAGACTGCCAAAGAACTTCTTCTGCAGCGGAATGCAAATCGATTCCTTTAGTATCGGAGCACAACCAATGATTGAGGAGTCCAGCCTTCTACAGAAAACCGTGGATGGCGGACGGACTCGTCAGTCCTCCTCGTCATCCTCCATGCCTTCTCCTCATGCGCACATTTTTTCAAATTGCAAGAGTTTCATGGTTTCCCAAGGTCAACGTACCAGGAATGGTGTTTCGGAAAGGTTCAGGGTTTTGAGGGTGCAACAGTGACGTTGATTCGCGGTGTTGAAGTCCCGGGAATGGCGTTCCGGCACGGTTCAGGATTGTCAAGACGCAACAGTCAAATTGAACCTTGGCGCTAGAGTCCCGATAGTAGTGTTTT